CTCGCTGCCCAGGTGAGTCTTGAACCCGTGGGCTCAGGCAATCCACTCACCTCAGCCTCCCAAAGGCACGGGATTACAGGCTGAGCCACCGAGCCCAGCTGTATTTCACTTTCAATGATGTACAGATTGTCCAGACAGAAAATCAACATGGAAACATTGGACTTAACATACACATTAGAGAAAATGGACCTAATAGGCAAATATAGCACATTCTACCTAACACTAGCAGAGTACACATTCTTCTCAAGTGCATATAGAACATTCTTCAGAAGGCCACAAAACCAGTCTTAACAAATTCAAGAAGATTGAAATAATACTTATTATCTTTTCTGACACAGTGGTATCAGACTAGCAATCTATAATGGGGAGTTTCAGGAAATGTACAAATACTATAAATTAAACGACATGATGTTGAACAATAAATGTATATGAAGTACATGAAGAAATTAAAAGAAAAGTTGAAAAATATCTTGAGACAAATGAAAATAGAACACAACATACCACAAGTTTTGGAATGCAGTGACGGTAGTTTTAAAGGGGAAGTTTATAGCAAAAAAAGCCTATATCAAAAAGAAGAAAGCTCTTAAATAAACAACTTAATGCCACACCCCCCAAAGCTAGAAAAACAATAACAAACTCAGCCCCAAATTTAGCAGAAGGAAGGATATAAGGATCAGAGCAGAAATAAATGAAAGAGATTAGAAAACCAATATAAAATATCAATAAAACTGCAATAGTTTTTTGAAAAGATAAACAAAATTGAGCTAAACAGAATAAGAAAATATTTGCCAAATGAATGCATATGAAAATGTTTCACTTCTCAATGGATATATCCATCTGCAAGCATCATGGGTACATCATAATCACTATGACCAACACTGAGGCGATTATTTTCCTGAGGTGATTATTTTTCTGATACATCTGATTTTCCACATCGCTCTGCCACCTATTTTAAGTTCTATATTTTGCTTCATTCCTATTGTGTAAAGAATAACAATATTATTTTCCATTGCCTAGAACATACATTTCCAACTCTCCAGTCTCGTACACAATGGAGCAGCATGGAAATTAAGATGAAGAACCATACTTACTGCAACTTTGCCATGCCTCTGCTTTATGTGTAGGAAAGAGAGGCAGGAAACAGAAATATGAGTAGTTGCTGTCTCTGGTACGTGTGAGAGAGGTGCTTATTGAGTTTAGCATTCAGAAACAGAACTACTCTTGAAAAGAGAAAAACACTTACTCATTCATGTTTGCCTTTCAGTACCATGTCCTAACTGAGAAAGCAAACGAATAAAGTTGTATGCTTAGGGGTGAAAAACTTTGAAAACTTTGCATGAATACTCTGAAAATAATTGAGATTATGCTAAAATATGACTTTAGACATATCATTTATATAGACAACACAGATATAAAACTGCCTTATTAGATGATGCAAGAGCTTGTGAGAATCTGTTATTTTTGTGAAATGTGTTAGCATAATTGGGCACAAGAGATTTATATAGTAAAACAAAATTGCAAAAAAAATCATGTGGAAAAATCAATGTATACCCATAACTCAAAGGAAACTGTATTGAAGACATAAGTCATATGGATGGTGAAAACAGCAAATAGTACTTAACACATTTCCAACAAATGTAATTTACCTGGAAATGTCCTTGTAATGTAAAATTTAAAATCCTGTAATTTATCTTCAGTCTTGACCTTGACCTTCAGGATATAAACATTGCCAAACTTGCTCTTCAGATGCTGAGGGCTACCCAAGCACATGAATCTTCCCTTCACCATGATGGCTAGACGAGTACAAAGGGCATCACATTCCTCCATACTTGAAAAACAAGAGAGCAGAACACTGTAAGACTAAAAGGTTCTCCTTTGGAGGGCATTGTGTAGTTCAATCAGAGATGGAATTTTGTGATACTATTTTCAATAAGAAGTTGTATTTGCCAGTCACAAATCTCATAGTTGGGAAGTGGGAGTTTTTCGAATGAAAGATAATCAAACAGTACATTTCCTGAAGTCTTGTCTTCTCCCCATTTTTGACTTTTCTTTTTAATTCAGTGAGGATTTTTTTTTCATTTCACTCAATAGAATTAGCATGAATCCTGATGTCTATTGTGCTCACATGCTCAGGCAGGTTTACTGTCCAATATTCCTGGCCCCAAATAATTCCCTCTTGTAGAAACTAAAGTTCTTGCCAACCCTTAACCAAGCCTCCTCATGAGCCACACCTGTGAGAGGTTATAACGATGACTTTTCCACTTTCACGTGCCTGTGTCACTGTGTTCCAGAGCAGGCGTCGTACTACTGGGTCCATGCCGGTTGATGGTTCATCTAGGAAGATGACTGAGGGCTTTCCCATTAGGGCAATAGCAGTGCTCAGCCTACGTTTGTTTCCTCCACTTCGTGGGCAAAGAAGGACAGAGAAATGAAGAGACAAGGAAGCTATATACATATCAGATATTCACAGGAAAGAATTAGCACAAGTATCCCAAATGCTGAGAATCCCAGAAAACACTGAACATGAACATCCACAATGCTAGTTAGATATGACTTTCACAAGGTTACAGACTCAAGTTACGAATCAATTCATTTTAATTTGAGATGTAGAAAAATAACTTTTCTTTTTGGTTAGAGTCTCACTCTGTTTCCCAGGCTGGAGTGTAGTAGCATAATCACAGCTCACTGCAGCCTTGACTTCCTGGGCTCAGGTGATCCTTCTGCCCTCAGCCTCCCAAGTAGCTGGTACTACAGGTAGGTGCCACCATGCCCAGCTAATTTTTTTTTAAGTTTTTGTAGAGATGAGGTCTCGCTATATTTCTCAGGTTGGACTCAAGCAATCCACCCATCTTGGCCTCCCCAAGTGCTGGGATTACAGGTGTGTGCCACCATGCTCGGCCAAGGAGTGAATTTTATGTAACTGATCTTAGCGGCATTATCAGCAGCATTTATTTAATTGCCCTTAGGGTGTTAGGGCTTTCAAGGCACATAAGCCACATCATAATTCAAGAGGGTCTATATTCCTCCTTACTTGGTAGACAAAGAACCATAGGAACACGAGGAAAAGATGCTTCCTTTTGAGGTTCAGAGGCTACAGTTAAAATAAAACTAAGATTTTGCGTTTTATATCTCAAAGGGAAGATGTGCAACTACATTGATTTCTCTTATCACTGGCATTAGTCTCACAATTAGGTAACTGTGGGCAGAGGGGTTTAGGCGGAGCTCTGGACATTCATTTCAAACATCAGGAACAAAAGGAAGCCCCTCAACATTAGCAGCATTAACAAAAAGAGCAGCAACAAAATGACTCACCTGTAGGTGCTGATAAGCTTGTCAGCATGAGACTCCAGTTCTAGTGAATTCAAACATTTGTTCACATACGGCTTAATCTGGGGCTCAGAGACTCCCCATAATCTGGCATACATAATCATTATTTCCCGAGCAGTCATATATTCCAGCAATGCATCAAACTGAGGACAGTAGCCAATTCTTGACCTTACCTAATTACAAAAATTGCCTTAAGTAAAGACCCAAGTCATTGATCCCATTATACATTCGTGAATGAGACAGCAGACCTGTAGCAGTCCAGGTCATGCTTCAGGGAGTCTTTCCAATTTTTCCCCCCAAAGAACTACACAATTAAAACTGGTGAATCTATTGTAGTACACTGGAATAATAGGTTATGCAATCCAGTCTTAATAACATTGGGTGACATTGGGATAAAGAAATGAGGAATAAAATCGTAGAGCCTATTCAATTTGGAGAAGTGTTATAATATGAGATGCTCTCCTCATTAATCAGGAACTCCAATGGGGCATGGCCGTGGTGGATGTTTTGCACTGTTTAATCTGTGTGGCCATGTGTATGTCTTGTTCCATAGTAAGGCTGAACCAGAAGCAAAGCCTTTTCCCATCCCACCAAACTGGATATTGCAATGACTGCTGCTTCAGCAGTTAGTCAAACCCTTCTATTGCTTTAAACTTAGATGTACATAGGCTAGGTAGCCAGAGAAAAAGTTATCAATTTGAAATTAATGTATTTTTAGATAAATAACTAATTAATTTACACTGTTCCCAGACTATTCATGCCCTCTTAACTTCTGGCATGCATTAAGCTCCTGTCCCTATGGCTGAAATAACTTCCAGGAGATTTCAAGGACTAATTCTCTATTCTCCTTCATTTTTCTCTTTTTCTTCTTTTGGGATTCATGCATTAAAGATTAGGATACTCCAGCTGGGCATGGTGTCTTGTGCCTGTAATCCTAGCTACTGGAGAGGCTGATGTGGGAGGATCACTCGTGCTCAGGAGTCCAACTTCAGTGAGCTATGATTGTGCACATCATAATAAGGGCAAGATCTCATCTCTTTGGAAAAAAAAATGTAAAAAGTAGAAAGTGATCAGACATGCTCAGGAAAAGACAGAAAAGAAAAGACCTGAGAAGAACTTAAGTACACACCTAAGGTTGATTCTAAGCAGAGAGACAGTCTACAAAAATCTAAAAAACAAAAGCAATAAATAAAAAGTAACAAAAATAGCCAATCTAGGAGAATGTAATTTCCAGAGCTACTGCATTATTAGAGTCACATGTCTAGTTTTCAGCAAAAACTTATCCAGAAAGAAACAGGAAAGTATGATCCATCCAAATGAAAAAAAAGAGAGAAAGAATGGGAATTCTTTCTGAAAAATACCTGGTGGCAGATATATTTTGACAAAAACTTTAAAACACTGTCTTAAAGACACTAAAATAATTAAAGAAAGATGTACAAAAAGTCAAGAACATGATGTATACATCATGAAAAATATCAACAAAGAGATATAAAACTTAATAGGAAACCACAAAGAGCAGAAAAATACAACAAAAATTAAAAAATTCACTAGAGATTTTGAAAGACATGTTTCAATATTTAGAAGAAAAAATTAGTTAACTTCAATATAGGACAAATGCAATTATTGAATCTGAGGAACAGAAAGAAAAAAAAGATTAAAGAAAAGTAAACAGAGCCTAAGGGTCTTTGTTACAGCATCAAGTAGACCAACATACATATTGTATGTATTCAAGAAGGAGAGGAGAGAGAGAAAGCGATAGAGATAATTATCTGAAGAAATAGGCTGGGCGCAGTGGCTCACACCTGTAATCTCAGCACTTTAGGAGAATGAGGTGAGAGAATAGCTGGAGCTCAGGAATTTGAGATCAACATAGCGAGACTTTGTTCTACAAAAAAAAAATTAGCTGGACATGGTAGTGAGCATCGTAGTCCCAGCTGCTTGGGAGGCTTAGGCAGAAGAAATCACCTGAATCTGGGAGGTCGAGGCTGTGGTGAGCTGTGACTGGCCACTGCACTCCAATCTTACTAACATGGTGAGACATTGACTCAAAAAAGATTTTTAAAAATTAAAGAAATATTGGTTGAAACTTTTCCACATTTGATGAATATAAATATCCAAGAAGTTCAATGAACTCCAAGTAAAATGAACTCAAAGAGACACGCATCAAGATATGTTATTATCAAATTGTCAAAAGCCAACGATAGAATCTTGAGAGCAGGAAGAGAGAAGCCACTTATCACATAAAATGGGTATATTGTGTAATGATGAGGTTGGGGCTTCCATTGAACTTGCCCCCCAAATAGTAACCAATAGGTAGTTTATTTTTATTTTTTTAAACTTTTTTTTT